CTTATCCGACCCACGATAATACTGATTCTGTTCTGCCCAGGGTATACGACACAGATGATACACTTGCCCAACAGCTAGCGGAGTGAGAGCCAACACTTGGCCACAATCTACCCTCAGCTAGCTGGTTTGCTGGTTTTAGCACGGGACGCGAACCAACCAACCAACCAGCCAGCCAGCCACCTAACTAACCATTTAGCAAAGGTACATTGTTGCGTGCTGCTCATGTTATGCACAAAAGATTAAACGAGTATTTACGATGCAACGACATGGAAAATGTTGTTGCTACACAACATTTCATCCCAAAAACAGAACACAGCCAGCCAGCCAACTAGCTAGCTGGCTAAGCAAACGCTCGAAACTGCAAACTGAAGAAGAAACCAGCAAAAAATAAAAAACACAACAAGAGTTAAAAGGTGTAGACATTTGCATATTTCCCTTGCAAGCGTTTCGATTAGGTCGCTGCAGATGATACTGACGATACTGATTTGGCGAGCAGCAATATTTTTGTTGGTTTTCCACCTCATCGACTGAGTTTAGGGAAAATATGTTGCTGCTTTATTGGCAAATGTGAATTATGATGATTCCCTAATGACCAAAATGGTGAGATTTAGAAGAGGGGTATTTAAAGGATTTTGGAGGGTGGAAAAAAAGGAACAACCATAAAGCCAAGTAGGAAACTTTGAGGTTTTGGGGAGAGATATACTCGTATCCTTTTCCAATTTTTAAAATATTTATGAAAGAGAAACTAGGAGAAATTTTATCGTATAGTCATTTTCGAAAATGTTCTAAGTTTGATAACCGTAGAATAAAGGTCATGGGTAGTTGGCAATTTTCATTCGACCTTGGGGTACTTTGTTTACTCCTAACCATATGGCTAGAGAGGGTAAATATCATTTGATACGGCAAATACGTGCCTCATCAAAGTAACGATTTAAGACCCAAACTCCCTTGGGACCAAATCTGTTTCAGGACAGTTGGAGGCGATCTAGCGATGTCCATCCGTCTGTCTCAATGGCTGGTTGATGCGCACGATAACTCTCGAAGGGAGTATCGAGTTTGGAGATGGTTAATATCGGTCCACTCCTTCTGGTACCTCTCCCACAAAAGGTCGAAATTTAAAAAAAATATATATTTTTATGGCTCATAAAGAGAAAGGATAATCCGATTTGCTCCAACTTTGCAAATCCTAATACTTGCATCAGTGCTAGATTACCTGCGAAGATGGACTATATCGGGCCACTCCATTAATTACCTCTCCCAAAAAGGCTCAAAATTGTGAATAATTATAACTTATATAAAATGTGATGTAAGAGTTCGATTGTCTTCATATTTCGCACATCCTAATATTTTTATAAACCCAAGGTGCTAAGATGGAATATATCGGTCCACTCCTTTTGGTACCTTTTCCACAAAAGGACGAAATTTTCAAAAAAATATATTTTCTGCATAGAAAGAGAAATGATAATCCGATTTTTCTCCACCTTTGCAAGTCCTCATATTTTCGCCAGTGCTAGGTTAGGTGCGAAAATGAATAATATCGGTCCACTCCATTAAGTCCTCCCCAACAAAGGGTAAAAATTGTGAATAACTATAACTCTTATAAAATGTGATGTAAGAGTTCGATTTTCTTCAAATTACACACATCACAATATTTTTAGTAATCCAAGGTCTGGTGTGAAGATGGAATATATCGGTCCACTCCTTCTGGTACTTTCCCCAACAATGTTTGAAAATTTTGAATATCCATGAAACTCATAAAACGCGAAATTAATACCCGACTCAATTCAGACTTGGCGCATTCCAATATTTCTATCAGCACAAGATCTGTTATAAAGATGGTACAAGTCGGACCATTCCTTCCTTCAATAACCAAAACGATCAGAAAATCCGAAATAAGCATCCGGTTATATTCATATTTCACACATCCCATTGTTTCTATTAACACGAGACCTGCTGTTAAGATGGAATATATCGGTCCTCTCCTTCTGGTACCACCCACACATAAGGTGAACATTTTCAAAACAAAATATTTTACTGCACACAAAAAGGGAGAGGAAAATCAGATGTTGCTCCAATTTTGCAAATGAGATGAAAAAACTGCAACCAACTTCAGACTGCTGTCATTTCTAAGCCACTCATCCGACAGCTGTTAAAATTATTCCAGTGACAGCTTATTATATTGTTTACAAACGTACAAAAGCATTTTGCTGGGAATTTTCCAGAAAAAAAGTTATTCGTAATGGATTTCAAGCGTGATTTCTGTATATTTGGCTGGAAAACCACAAGTGGCTATCGTTAGAGCACTCCAGCATTTAAATGTGAATAAATCTTTTGTGTCTCGTTCCATCCCTCGTTACCGTGATACTGGTAGCGTAGCCCGACGTCAAGGAAGTGGACGGACGAAAGCAGCAACATCAGCAGAAATGGTTCGAAAAGTAAAGAAGCGACTTGATCGAAACTCGCGTCGTAGTGGACGAAAAATGGCACGTGAGCTGAACATATCGCAATATTCCATTCGGAAAATATTGAAAAATGAGCTCGGGGTAAATCCACTGAAATTCCAAAAACTTACACCGCAACAGAAAGAAAATAGACGCAAAAGAGCTAAAAAGTTGCTTCGCTTGGCCGAAAGTGGTGAACTGCGAATTTGGCTCTCTCCAATGAGAAAACATTCGTTGTCCAGCCGTTTGTAAACAAACAAAATGATCGTGTTTACTTGCCAAAGAGGTCAGCTGAAAATGTGTACCTTCGGTTGGCCACCAGAACTCAAGCGCCGGCGATGCTGATGGTGTGGGCCGCCATAACAGCCGGTGGTCGCTCTCCGCTCGTATTAACTAGCGATTTAGCGATGTCTGTTCGTCTGTCCGTCTGTGGAAATCACTCTAGCTTCCGAACAAAGTTAAGTAGATTGACAAAATTGTACTCAATTTTATATTATGTATGCAGGACTTTTGGTATTGAAAATGGGTCATGTACTTCCACGTTTTGGTATAGCCCCCATATAACGGTACCTCCATAATTTCGGTATTTGGATGATTTTAGCGACATTATTAATTGCAATTGTTTCTAATTTCGTATTTGAAGTTTGTAATGGATACTGCGGCCTAAGGCAGAAAATTGTCTGTGCAGGTCCACTTCTTTGTATAGCCCCCATATAACGGAACTCCCCGATATTCGGTATTTTGATTATTGTAGCGACACTATTCACCGGAAATGTTTCAAAATTGGCATTTGAAGTTCGTAATGGATACTACAGCCTATGACAGAAATTTGTCTGTGCAGGTCCACGTCTTCGTATAGCTCTCCATATAACGGTACCTTCCTATATTCGAAATTTTGATGATCTTAGCGACTTTATTCATCGGAATTGTTTCAAATTTGGTATTTGAAGTTCGTAATGGTTACTGCAGCCTAAGGCAGAAAATTGTCTGTGCAGCTCCATATTTTGGTATAGCCCCCATATAATAATACCTCCCTATATTAATGATTTTAGCTACATTATTCACCGAATTTTTTCTCATTGGAATATTTTAATGGTTTATGACATGCAGGTCCACATCGTCGTTTAGACCCTACATTTGATATTTTTAAGATTTTAACAGAATTTTTAACGGATTTTATTTATTTTTTTTTTTTGAAAATTGCCAAATTCTTTCCAAAAGGTGAAGGGTATTCAAAGTTCGGCCCAGTCGAACTTACAGGATTTTTTCTGCAATTAGTTTTTATACCCTACACCACAAGGTGGTCAGGGTATTATGTCTTTGTTGCATTTGTTTGTAACAGGCAAAAGGAAACGAGATAGACCCATAGTTCCTTTTGATGATCTGCATAGAATCACATTCTCAGGCGATTTATGCATGTCCGCCCGTCCGTCTGTCCATGTATTTTTGTAAACAAAGTACAGTTCGCATTTATTGTCCTATCCAGATGAAATTTTGCACAAATCATTTGTTTGGCCCAAGTACGAACCCTATTGAAATTGGAGATAATCGGTCAACATTTAGATATAGCTCTTCGTCCGATTTGCCTTTTATTGTGCACCAAACGTGTAATATCAGGCCGAATGGTATGGAATTTTGCACATACAACCAGATTAGGCCTGAAAATAAGTATGCCAAATTTTATCGAAATCGATTCAGATATAGCTATAGCTCCCATATATATTGTTCATCCGATTTGTTATTTTTGTCCTCCGCAGTCGTAATATGCACTCTGTAACAACAATATTTTGGGAAATATATCAAATACAACTCGGAAATACATTTGCTAAATTTTATCGAGATCGGTTCAGATTTGGATATAGCTCCCATATATAACTTCGTCCGATTTACCTTTTATTGTGCACCAAACGTCTACTATTTGTCCAAATTGGATGGAATTTGGCACTTACGACCGAATTGAGTCTAGAAGCTAGTATGTCAAATTTGGTGAAGATCGGTTCAGATATAGCTATAGCTCCCATATATACTATTCATCAGATTTGTCATATTTGTTACCCACAGCCGTAATATGCAATCCGTAACGATGATAATCAGGGAAATATATCAAATACAGCTCAGAAATATCTTTTCCAAATTTTATCGAGATCGGTTCCGATTTGGATATAGCTCCCATATATATCTTTATCCGAAGTCCGAATTTAAAAGATACAAATGCTTCGACATATTCAGTCCTTTGAACTTTAAATTATAATCATAGCGTGTATGAACTTTTTATGATACCCTACACCACTTTGCTCTACTAAATTAGCAAAGTGGTGTAGGGTATCATAAAGTCGGCCCCCACGACTTTAAGACTTTTTTACTGGTTATTTATTGATTTTTGTGCCCAATATCCCCAAAACTCATTGATCTGAAAATTTCTCTGAGTGTACATTTCGAAACAATGTAAATGCATTTTGTGTTTTCCAAAAAGTTTTTCTTATCAGTACTCGGGTAATAGTAGCCGATTGAGAATACAGACTTATGCGCTGGCTGGTGATGGCATTACTCACGAGTGCAATGTGTCAGTGACTGGATGACTGACCGACCGACCCATCGTCTCGCTAATTGGTGATATTCAGAATGAAAGCAAATTTCAATATTTATTTTCAACTCATTTCAGTTTAATGGCAATTGTTGTGGTAGCCTAACCGCAGGCAGCTTTGTTCGGGTTATTAAAAAATTATTAAAAGAAAAAACAAACAAACAAATACAAAACAAAAATAAAAACAAAAAAACCGGGCAAAGGCAAAACAAAGGAAATACGATCATCGAAATAAACAAATGTTCGAATGAGGAAGATAAGACTGAAGAAGAAGAAGAAAATGCCGGCAATGGGGAAATGTTTGTGGCTGCTATCATCGATGTTGTTGTTGTTGGCTTTGCTGTTAAATGACAAAGTCACGGCCACTATTGTGAATTTGCCTCAAAATTGTCCCACCTCCAGTTCCACCTCTTGTATGCTAACAAATCTAACTGATTCCTATGAGGATGCTCTCAATGTAAACGGGCCATCCATGCCTGTCATACAGGCCTTGGTGGTGCAAAATTCTGCCCTAAGGCGCGTGCCCACTCGGCTATTGGAAGTTATGCCGAATTTACAAAAACTACTGTTGCTCAGCTGTGGTCTGAATAATCTCTTTGAAAAAGATTTCATTGATGTAAAACGTCTAAAGATACTGACCCTGGAGGGAAATTCCATTTTCTCGATGGCGAAAAATGTCTTCCAGCCTTTAGGTGAATCACTGGAAGAGCTGCAGCTGCGTTCGAATCGCATACACATTGTAAATCGTCAAGCCTTTGGGGGTTTGAAAAATCTCAAATTTCTCGATATTTCGTACAACAACATCATCAGTCTACAGGGTGGTCTCTTTGAGGATCTAATAAATTTGGAACATTTGGATGTGAGTCACAACGATGTGGAGGCCATTGATGGCAATACGTTTGCCAAAAATTCTAAACTCACTTCACTGAATTTGAGTGACAATAAGTTTTCCGTTTTCGAACCCAACTCTCTGAGTCATTTTGGACATTTGCATTTGGTGGATTTAAGCAATACCTTGCTGGAAGATTTCCACATACAGTCCGTGGATGTTTTGCAGATATCGAACAGCGGCCTCAAGAATTGTAACATCAATGGTGGAGTGTTACGCCTTCTGGCGGCCAATAACTCTTTGAGTGGCCTTAAAATAACCCAAAAATTGGTGGTCCAGGAAATCGATATCCAAGGTAATTATTTTGAAACTCTGGATGATTTTCAAGGTATGGTGAATTTACATCACCTCGATGTGTCCCACAATCACATAAATCGCCTTATATCCCAGAGATCCACTTCCATATATTTACACTTGCCGAATTTGGAATATCTCAATTTGGCCCACAATCGTTTAAGGGATCTCAGCCTAAATGAGTTTCTCATGATGTCAAAATTGCGCGCTCTGGATCTCTCCCACAATCATTTGCTACAGCTATCCACCACCACCATTCTCAAACCCCTTAGAGATCTCCAATACCTCTATTTGGACAATAATCATTTAATTGAATTTAATTGTTCCACCCTAAAACAACAACATGGCAATCTACAACAACTAAGTCTCGATCAAAACGATTGGGAGGATCAGTATCAGGCGGAATTGTTATTGGAATTACAAAAACAAAACATAAGTGTTACAAGACACACTTCTGGAGATAATGTGGAAATGGCCAGTCATGTCGGTGGTTATCATGAGTCGCCAAGGCTTTTGGAACATTATGAAAAGGAACAACTGGTCGGTGTATCCAGCATCCATCCCTATTGGACCCTGCGTGATGTGTTGGCTCTCCTAACTTTGCTATTGGTTCTACTCATTTTGTTGTTGCAATTTTTCCGTATTCTCCAGGAGAAACAATGTTGCCGCCGCCGCTTTCTTCGACATGACCGAGAGGCCGAACAGCCATTAGTCCATAATAGTTCGGTTTTGTAGGATGTAATCGTACTTTTTGAAAGAAACGAAAAACTCGAAATCGATAAATGTTATTTATGTATAGAACATTTAAAATGCCACAACTACAGCAGAATAATTTTACAACAATAAAAACGAGAACTGAATGTACGAATATTTGACTAATTTAACCCGAGCTCCAAAATGCCACTCGAAAACATGCAGCTCATACTTGCTATTTTTCGACTGGTATAGAAATGTATATTGGGCTTTCTTACTCGTGGTCCCTCTCGATTTCGATTGAGTTTTACTCTCTAATCGAAATCGAGCAGGAGTACTCCTGCGAGTAAAAAACAAATCGAGTATACCCTATATTTCTATGCCACTCCAATAGGTTCCAAGTATGATTTGCTCATTTTCGATTGGGATTACAATTTTTTCTCCTACCGGGTAGTATATCAGGTTTTGCCATACAGTTTTTTTATGCGTAAGTATGTGTCATTTTTTCAAACCACATCTGCAAACGAAACAAAAACTACTATAGAGGGTGAGATAAAAAAACCGCAACCAACTTCAGACTGATGTCATTTCTAAGCCACTCATCCGATAGCTGTTAAAATTGTTCCAGTGACAGTTCATTATATTGTTTACAAGCGTACAAAAGCATTTTGGTGAGAATTTTCCAGAATTTTCCAGAAATTCAAGCGTGATATTATGTTTCTTTATATTTGGCTGGGAAACCACAAGTGGCTATCGTTAGAGCACTCCATCATTTAAATGTTAATAAACCTTTTGTGTCTCGTACCATCGCTCGTTACCGTGATACTGGTAGCGTAGCCCAACGTCAAGGAAGTGGACGGAAGAAAACAACAATATGAGCAGAAATGGTTCTGAAATTTATAAAGCGATTTGATCGAAATCCGCGTCGCAGTGGCCGAAAAATAGCTCGTGAGCTGAACATATCGCAATATTCCATTCGGCAAATATTGAAAAATGAGCTCGTAGTAAAGTCATTGAAATTTCAAAAAGTGCAAGAACTTACACCGCAACAGAAAGAAAATGGTCTCAAAAGAGCCAGAGTTGCTCCGCTTGGCCGAAAGTGGTGATCTGCCGAATTTGGGTTTCTCCGATGAGAAAACATTCGATGTCCAGCAGTTTGTAAACAAACAAAATGAGGTCAGCTAAAAATGTGCACCTTCGGTTGGCCACCAGAACTCAAGCGCCGGCCATGGTGATGGTGTGGGCCACCATAACAGCCGATGGTTGCTCTCCGCTCGTATTAATCAACCGTGGTATCAGAATAAATGCCGAATATTATCTCAAAAATATTCTGGAGGGTGTATTAAAGCCTTGGTCACGCAAACATTTTGGCCGCAGTCCTCGAACATTCCAACAGGACTCAGCACGCGCCACCCAAGAATGGTTACAAAATGAGGTTCCTCGCTTAATTTCCAGCGCACAATGGCCACCAAAACCTCCGGATTCCAATCCGTTGGACTATTGTGTCTGGAGTATTTTGAAAAGCAAGGTTGGCACTAAAAAATACCAAAGTTTCGATCACCTCAAGCAAGTGCTTCGCCGGGAATGGGACAAAATACCGCAGAGCAACATTCGGGCAGCATGTGACGGTTTCATTGGCCGTTTGAAAGCCATAATTCATGCCACAGGTGACCAATTCCAACAAATCTAAACTTATTCTAAAATTGGATGCTATTTCCGACATTTTTTCTTTCATTCAATAAAATTTAAAGAAAATTTAAAAATTGTGGCGTTTGATTTTGTTGCAGTTTTTTTCTCACCCTGTAGTCGACCATTGTCATATTTCATCTAATACAGATAAAAATATTGGTATGCGGAAAATTACAAGAAAATCGAACATTTATACCCAGTTTTATGTGAAATCAATGAAATTCAATATTCACCTCAGGTTTCTGGTTGAGAGAAATCTTTAGATATTTCGCAAGTTATGACAGTGTGAAATATGAAGAATATGTGAAATATGAAGAGAACCGGTTGCTTATTTCGGATTTTGAAGAAGAAATGCTCCGATCTTTTCCATCTTTGTAACAGATCTTGTGTCGATAGAAATATTAAGATGTGCCAAATTTGAATGGAATCGGATGATAATTTATGAGCTTCATGGATATTCAAAATGTTGACCCTTTGTGGGGGAGGTAGCAGGAGAAGTGGAATGATATATTCCATCTTCTCACCTGATCTCGGGTTAGTAAAAAAATTGTTTTATGTATAATTTGAAGACAATCGGACTCTTACATCATTTTTCATAAGAGTTGTAATTATTCAAAATTTTGACCGATATTGTCCATTTTGTCCATTTCTTAGCACTGATGCAAATATTCTGCTTCTGTGCAGGATTTTTTTTAATTTCTCCTTTTTTGAGGGAGGTACCAGAAGGAGTGGACCGATATTTTCCATCTCCAACCTTAATCTACATTTTTCAATAATATTGTGTTGTACCAAGTTTAGACCAAATCTGATGCTCCCTTTGAGAGTTATATTGCGCTCCAGCCAGCCAGACAGACATACGGACGGACATCGCTAGATTGACTCCAAATGTCCTGAAATGGATTTGGTGTAAAGAGACCTGGGGTCTAAAAACGTTATTTCGATGAGGCACGTTTCACCCGTATCAAACAACAGGCATATGGCTGAGGGTATAAAAATAAATATATTTTATATATATTGTGAATATATTAATTTTATATTTGTTATATAATTTAATAAAACAACGAGAATTTATATCCGTACCGTACGGAGTTGTAAATAAATCTGGCACCCCATATTGGGCGCCAGCAGCGAGAATTTATTTACAACTCCGCATGGTACGGACATAAATCCTTGTTGTTTAGTTACTTTTATGTTAATTATTTAAAAATATTCATCAAGGACTTCAAGAATGTTTACAAATATTTTCAAAGGACTGTCCATAGTAAACTTAAAGGACACTTGACCAAAAGTTGTGGATTATATTAAAAATAATATCCAAAAACCTCCTCACTACAAAATGGTTTCTTACGACCTTTTTTATGTGATTTTTCTACTTTTCATGGGCCAATCGTACACTTTTTAATTATTTCTACAGGCTACAAATTGTTGACGTTTTCTAAAGTGTTTTTAAACAAAACAAAAAACTTTCAAACACAATTTGCAAATCTAAAAAAGTTAAATTTAATAAATAGTAAGGCCAAAATTAAAAATATAATTTCAAGGACTTCATAGATTTTGTTGAATATTTTAAAGAACAAGGTTTTCTTAGAGAGGAAACATGGAATTTTAAATATATATTTTTGAGGATTTCCCAGAAAAAATTTTCAGGGACTTTCTGATTAAGAATCGTATTTTTTAACAGCTTTCTGACTAAGAATGGTAGATTTTTGTAATATTTGTCAAGAACTCCCTGCTTTTTTAAACATCGATTTATAATAATGTTTAATTTTTTCACATGCAATAAGACTTTTGATGAAAGTTTCAATAAAAATCTGGTAATAATACTTACAATTGTAAAAGAAGAAACTTCTTCGAAATCGATGTATCATAGGAGATGTTTTTTTTTTTTTTTCAATAATTTAAATTTTATTTTAATTTTTCTCAAAAATTTGTCAGCATTGCCTTTTTGGGAAAAATGTGGACCATTTGTTGCGATTGTTGAAACAAATGCTGTAGTACTCTAAATAGTCCCTCGCCATTCCTTGCTGCTACGTCAATTAATGACCACTGCGGCATGCCGACTGGAAATGGACACTAAGGTGTAAAGAAACATTTGTTTTCTCATACCTCGGCCGGCTGATAAAATCTCATAAAATGAAACGTAAAAAACATAAATTTACACTTTTGGGACTGCCTTTGTGGCAACTCCTCCCGCCACGAATCGCATCAGAAATCACACACTAATTCATAAATGCAACAATATCGAGGCGGCGTAGTCTAATTGAACACTGGCAAATATCGATGCCCTGCTCTCGTGTTTGTGTTCGACAGGAGGTTGTCGGTGTTGTTCTCCAACGGATGGACGGACGAACACCCACCCACCCCCAACCAATTCCAATTCCAATCAAAGTGTAAAACTGCACTACCATTGGAATCCATACAATCACCTTGGTTTTGAAATGGATAAACGAGTGTGGAACGGGGTTATGCGGTCGATCGTGGTGCGTTGCTTTGGGGAGGACAGCTCAGACAAACAGACGCTGTTTACAACAGTCTTCTCTTCACAAGTGACTGTGAATTTCTATCTATCTGCGAAGAATATGACCAAAGGCACATCGTGCCCTACCAAAAAAAAAAACGAAAGATGAAAAATTGTCGAATATAGGGAGGGAGTTGGCGAATGACAAAAACTGATTTTGTACAGTATTTGCAAAAGCCAACACCAGCTTTTTCTTGTACATGTGGACATCTTTTTGGAAAATGTAAATTGTGTCAAATTTCTCCTGAAAACCTGAAATTTTGAATTCTAATGTAATTTCTCCGTTAGAAAAAAAAAACGTTCGTTAAAAATCTTTTTTTAAAAAATTGTCGTTTCAATGAAATCTCGACGAAATTTTTTTGTAAAAAAATTATTGATAACCAGTAAAGAAAGTCCTAAAGTCGGATGGGGCCGACTTTATGATACCCTACACCACTTTGCTAATTTAGTAGAGCTCCGCATAAAAATTAAAAGTTTTTATGGGAGAATTCAATCAGACACGCTATGATTATAATTATAATTTAAAGTTCAAAGGACTAAATATGCCGAAGCATTTGTATTTTTTAAATTCGGACTTGTATTGCCCATTTGGTGCATCGGATAAAGATATATATGGGAGCTATATCCAAATCGGAACCGATCTACATAAAATTTCACAAAGATATTTCTGAGCTGTATTTGATATATTTCCCTGAATATCGTTGTTACGGAGTGCATATTACGGCTGTGGGTAACAAATATGACAAATCGGATGATTATGCTATAGCTATATCTGAACTGATCTTCACTACATTTGACATACTAGCTTCTAGACTCAATTCGGTCGTAAGTGCCAAATTTCATCCCATTTGGGCAAATATTAGACGTTTGGTACACAATAAAAGGTAAATCGGACGAAGTTATATATGGTTATAGTTATATAGTTATATATATCCAAATCTGAACCGATCTCGATAAAATTTAGCAAATGTATTTCTGGGCTGTATTTGATATTTTTCACCAAATATTGTTGTAACAGAGTGCATATTACGGCTGCGAAGGACAAAAATAACAATTCGGATGAACAATATATATGGGAGCTATAGCTATATCTAAACGGATTTCGATCAAATTCGGCATAGTTATTTTCAGGTCCAATCTGATCGTACGTGCAAAATTCCATACTATTCGCACTGATATTACACGTTTGGTGCACAAAAAAGGCAAATCGGACGAAAATATATATGGTAGTTATATCTAAATTTTTACCGATTATCTCCAATTTCAATAGGGTTCGTCCTTGGGCCAAACAAATGATTTGGATAGGGCAATAAATGCGAACTGTACTTTGTTTACAAAAATACATGGACAGACGGACGGACGGACATGCATATATCGACAGAATGTGATTCTATGCAGATCATCAAAAGGAACTATGGGTCTATCTCGTTTCCTTTTGTCCGTTACAAACAAATGTACAAAGACATAATACCCTGACCACC